CTGAAATCTTGTTAATTGCAGTTTATTCTTTAAGTGAGAATTTTCAGGCGCAATTCTGAATGACCAAAATTAAGAGCGTGACACTACCCCATCATCATCTGCTGTCCAATTATCAACAAAACATCTAAATTACCCTTTAGAATAGAAAAGACAACTTGACTTCATCATCGAAAACAATACATCTCATTTTATGTTATGACCATTTTGTCTTTTACCCATTTGCTTGTAGGATTGAGGATCCGAGTATATAAAACTTGAAAATTCTTGTAATTTCTTTTTTGGGTTTCTTGTCAAATCTAGAAATCAGTTGCCTCAAAGTAAGAGATTTTTTCAGCAAAATTCTTCTAAAAGGTGATGAACTCCTTTATTTAACTTAAATTGAAATTACACCTGTTGTTTTAGTGAGTTCTAGTACTGAAAACAACAAACAAACAAAGAAAAACATAACAGCAACACTCTTCTCTTAATAACTGTTTTTTTTTAAACGTTGTCTACCCTGAGTTGATAACGTTATAGCAATACAACGTTTTAAACGCTCTTCTAGTCCCAGGAAGTTCCCTGTAAGAATTTACTTTTTGCCCCTTTTTACGGTAATTCGAAAGATGAAGTTAAAACGGATTTAAAGACTAGACATGGGTAAATTTAATCGGTGTTTTTTAATCAGGAACATAGAGGATTAAGTATAATTGACCACACTCTTGAAATCGTTAAGATAAACTTACTTCCGTACAAGACAGCCCTCGAAATTTAGTTGTAGCAGCAGTTAATAACTTTATTCACATATTTGTTTATTTAGATGCGTTCTAGCGAGATACCCAAGTCAAGATCCGTTTCAAAGTAAAAAAGACTCAACTCTGTTCCTATCCTTTCCTTTAACATCGCGTAACATTATCTGTCTCAAGCGGTCTTGTGACTCCCAATCGTATCAGTTCAGTTATCATTTGGCTAAGCAGCAGTATGATTTCTCTAAACAAATCCTAAAATTATTGGAGGTCAAAGGTTGAACGATAAGCTGGCATCAGATAATTGTTTGTAACAGGTGTACGATGATCTCTTTAGAAAACAACAATAGTTCTGAAAGATGTTTTACCAAAACAAAAGCATTAATTTTCGCGGTTACTTGTAAGCATCAGTAAGTAAAAACAAGTTCTGGGACAGCTGCTTGATGACTGATTACAGGAATTTTGTTGAAGAAATAATGAATCTCAGTGATTTTTCAAGTGTCTGAGCGTGATGCTAAATCTGTGTTAAGCCTACTTGCACTTTTCTAAACGGTTTTAGTTCGAATCTTTTTTCTTAATTTATATTCCATTCATGTTTAGCGGAGACGTCGCTAACATCGACATCGACTACAGTTGGACGAAAGCGAGATGGATATCCAAAAAATCAGAGGGAGGTGGGGCTTTCCGTAGAGGCAAAGCAAGATATGTGTTCTGCTCTGCTCAATATAGAATCTCAAGATGAACAGGAAGAACATAGGACTCAGTACTCTGGGACATAAAGTCGCCTGAAGTTACCGCGACGTTAAGTCCCACAATAGGTCTTAACATGATATTCATTGAAAACATATCACTGTTTGAGAGAACATTAATAACAAGAGTAAAGTGCAGTGAATGTAAGTGAGGGTAGTGTTATCAAGTAACAATAATGCACCTAGTGCGGGCAAGGGGTGGGGATTTGACAAATTTTAAAATTTTTCGATCAAATTCCCCAGGGTGGGAAACGAAAGGTCAATCAAAAGTGTCAAAAAAGCCCCCACCCCAGGGGAAAAAATCTAAACAAACAATGCTATATTACTATATAAAACGAATAAAAGAACATTTCAACACGTTGTTACTACTTTTATTTACGGTTAACGGAAGCTCCATTAGATTACTCGCTGTAATTAAGTATTTTCTCCCTCCACTAGCATCTCTTATCTTGAACAACAAAATCACTTCAGGAAGATTGACCGTGCTGTGTAATATTAATAAAACGTAAAATGCTTTATAACATCTGCTCAACATGTCGGAACAGGTCGGATCACTGACCCATAAAAAATCCCCTGACTTTCATGGTGGAATTCGATTTCAATCGAGTTTTACAATCAGATGGGAACTTGAAGATAAAAACTTCCTCAAAATAGACATTATCTGTTTAGATGACAGTTTAAAGTATCGGATTATGGCGATTAAAACAAATGAAAACTTCATACCTTTCTCCAACAACGTGACTTTCAGGAAGCCTCGAGCGGGACGGACTTGGTAACTGCTTCTGAATTGATACCAGGCTTCTGTCGGTCAAAGTCAAATGTCCCTACCCCGGGGTCGCTTCGCACGATCAAAAGCCCGTCAGCGGGGATAGTCCCAGGCATCAAATCCCCTCCCCTTGCCCGCACTCCCCCCCCAACGGGATTTACATTGATAGGTGCATAACCGTTACGACCTAATTAAGCTATAGGAATTTAATCTAGAAGATTTATAAAAATGAACTGATGCAATTGTTGTGCTTTATTTTGTGATGATTTTCTTAAAAAAAAAAAATCAATCAAGGAAGCTTCATAATTACACACTAATAGTCTATACTCGAACTTTTCTTTTCTTACGATATAAATACTTCGGTGGTAGTAACATTAAGGTTTGAGCACGGTTCTGCAACAGACTGGCTTTGATTTACACTCTTGTCATAAATTGAGTCAGTAATTTATTAGTTGTATTGCCATAGTATAATCAGCCCAGTGGGCGTGCCTGTGACTTTTCTTTTCTTTTTTTTTGCAGACAAATTGAAATTGCGTTTGAAAGCTCATCCCAAGGACATTTTGAAATCAGTCGCAAACAGCCTGAAAAGTTACCGCAAGCTACCGTATGAAAATATATTTCTTTTTAAAGTGAATAACCACGGGAAGCCAGGTTCCCTAAAAATTTTTCCCCCAATTAATTCCCTATTTCAGGTCTGACTATTGTTTCTGATTTCTATTTCCTGAAGACCAGGAGTCAATTGCCTTCAATGTTTAGTTTCTCATTCCTAAAACTCAGAAAACGGATTGACAGCAAAGCTTCCTCATTCCTATAAACACATTTCGACACAGATTTTGCAAATGGGAGACGTACGTCAGAGAATTTTTATCAGCATTTAGGTAAATAATCAGGGTTCACTATAACTTAAGTCTTACTCGAATTCTACGTCTAAGAATGGTTGTCTTTGGCTTAGTTTTTATTAGAAAAATTTGCATTTAACATTTTATAAATAGTATATGCTTTTATCTGAAAGGTCCTTTGTTGTATTCGTCAATATTTGCTCTTTCACGACCCTTGTTTCATTTCCCTAGCTACTGAACTTGGTGATAGTTGTTTTTGGTATAGGTCTTAAACCTCAGCATTAAGAAATGTTTCAGTTGACTGGCATGACCGACTCTTAGAAGGTAAAATCGGTAAACGGCAAATTAGTTTTATTGTTTTTAATATACGAAATATGCGGACAAACGAAAACTTTGTGGGGAACAAAAGAGAAGAAAAATGATTTTTTTAAAAGTAAAGGTGATAATTTACCGATCAGTTATTAATCCTCCTTGGAAATTTGGTAACTTGATATTTAATTGTGTGTTTGTACCAAAATATCCTTGAACGCTTAGTGTAAAAATGCCGATATTGGACCGTAATCAACTGATAACAAAACAGAAATCTATATCCTCGATGTCGCTAATGTAGATGAAAATGGATGTCATGTAACGTTCTCCTGCGCTTTATAGTAACGGCGCATGCTTTGTTTCAAAACTTCTAACCTTTTTGAGTGGTGACCAACATCAATTTTCTCCTGATGATATCCATACATCATCAAAAGAAAAAGTTATGAGATTTAACAAAAGGATCACTGTAGAGAGAAAATGATTTAGTTTTTTATGAAATTCTCTCAACACATTCTTTAAGAAAATGTATAGAGATCAGTTTGGGGAATTTGTATGCGGATATTGGGGCTTAAAGGGTTAGAAACAAACTGAAGAGAAAGAACTGCAAAAAAAAACAAACAAACAAAAAAACAAAACAAAAGAAAAGCAGTCTTGCATTTAACCTTAAGTATTGCAACAATTGTTTTTTTGCAAATTACCGTAAAATTCCGAAAATAAGCCCTTCCAAATATAAGCCCCCCAATCCAGTAACGCAAAAAACCGTCCGTTAAATCGCCTCTCCAAATATAAGCCCCCCGGGGCTTGTACTTGGAAAATTGCCCTCAAATACAAAGTAAAACAAAGCAAAAACGGTAAATTTACTTCCAACTATAAGGCTAGCCCAATCAATTTTAAAACGCACATTTCCCTCCGTAGATAAGTCCCTCCGAATATAAGCCCCTCCAAAAATAAGCCCCTCAAAAAGGGCCTTTGAAAAATATAAGCCCTGGGGCTTATTTTCGGAATTTTACGATAATTGATGAATATACCTTTTTTTTCTAAAAAAAAAATGCTTTGATGACAATCCAAATATATTTCCGTTTTCATGATATTGATCCATCCATTTATTTGCAGATCAGTTGCGGCTTATATTTTCGACATTATATATTACAGGTACAAAAATGTTATTTCATAATGAAATTATCTGTTTATGAGAAATTTCTATCAATAGATTAGGTAATGCCATGTATATATGGAAATATCTATTATAAATAAATTGTTGTTGTTGTTGTAGTTGTTTGAGGTCAGCAATGCCAATGAATCAGTCAGTCTTAAAAGTTTTTTTGTTTGATGTTGAAAGTTGTAGTTTTTGTGAGCTTAGTATATAGTTATTCTCAGTTTAATTCCACAGTACACAAAAGGTGCTGTTAAAAATAAACTGTGCCATTAGCCCTGGCGTTTCCTTTGTACGTAATCCGATTATACAATTATTCCGGGAAAATGAAACCATAACCCCATCGTGTTTATCACTATTGCACAATTTCACATTTAAATTATCGCTGAAGCTCTAAATTGGTATCCGTGAACTCTGCTTGACTGCCAATCAAAGTAGTGTCCCACTGTACTGTGTCGAAGCATGGAGTTTTCGCGACAACCGGCGAGAAACGTTCCCGTTACTCTAGAGGAATTTTTGGATCGTCATGAGCGTTCTCTTCCCAGGACAGTTAAGCTGGTGGATGGGTTTTGGGGAAGTGAAGAAGACGAAACATTAGAAGCAGACCAGATCTTGGTTTTGTATAAAGTAGAGAGGCTAAAAGTTGTTATTGCACTTGACGCATTCCGTCAAGAGATCTTCTTCCCACGAAATTCGAACTTCAAGGTTCACCTTCTTCCACCTGAATGCAAAATCTACAGCACGGTCCAAAAACTCATCACTGATCAAACACCGCCGTTTTTTCTTGTTCTTGAAGACATTCCGTCCGCTGGAATCGAATCAGGAAGTAAGATCAATATACTGAGCAATGAAAATAGTGTTTCCAACCATTTAAAGTGTCAAGTTATCAAAAATGGCAAGTCCAAAGAAGTTCTACTCTACTCACATCTTAAGGGGAAGTTTCTACCATTGTTGGAAGCTACAGAGTATAGCTTAGACGAAGTTGTCACGCAAAAACATCTTCCCGTAAGTGTTCGCTTTGTGTCTGGGTCAATATCAGCCAATGACCGGGTCATCGCGCCATCGTTGACCAATCTGGGAAACATTTGTCTTAAAGACGAGGCGGAAGTTTCCATGGTCTTTGCAGCTTCATTTGACAAAACTTTGTCACTGTACGTTTTCCCCAAAACATTGGAAGTTAATGTCAGCTGTGGATTTAAAGTCTCAGCTGAAACCAGCAGAAAGGTCAAGGAATGCAGGAAAATCCTCCAGACAGGCGTCACTAGTTTGGAAGAAGTCGACGATTTCGTAGCAAGTTCCTTCTACTATGCAGCGAGCCCCGTCAGAAAGTTTAGTTTGCAATCGCCTCAGGAACCCGCCCTTCCAGTGCTTTCTCCGAGGTCTCGGATTGGTGAATGTCAACAAATGACAGAGGTAAAACTGTATACAAACGTAGTATATTTAACACAACACGACCTTGTCCCAGAAGGGTATGACAAACAAGTAGGTGTAGCAATTCCATCTGTGATTGTTTATGACGACAGAGAAAGCGGTTCACAAGAAGATATTCCCCCACCCTTGCCTCCCAAATATGGTGAAAAGACACGCTCGGAGTTCGTATCACTTGGTGTAACACCGCCGGTATTACCTCCAAAGCACAAATCTGATTGCGAGACACATGACTCAGACCTGGCTTACTTAGTGGTCGATTTACCTACCTGGAAAAGGGACGAGGATGAGCACGAAGGCGACACAAGCTTCCTTCTAGAACTAACTGGCGAGCCTGTCGAGGGGGAAAGGGTAGACAAGAAACCACCTGTAAGAGATAAAAGCAACTTGGAAAAGAGCGAGAACAATTTTGGGTCCTGCGAAAAGGTGAACGTTGAGCAAGATGACGTCAGAAACGTCTACCAAGAAGTGACTTTTCAACCTGTTGGAATGGAAGACTACCTCATCCCTGCTGAACAGAAACCGTCAGGACATAAAATGAACTGGGAAGATGCTGCAGATAATTACTTGATACCCGAAGAGGCAAGGGGTAACGCCTTTGATCAAAATGACGTTAGAAACGCCTACCTAGAAGTGATTCATCAACCTGACAGAACGGAAGAACTGAAAAGGGAAGGCCATATGGTGGACTGGGAAAAAGCTAATGATAATTACTGGAAGTCTGCAAAGGGTGACGTTATTAAGCAAGGTGATGCGAGAAATGTCAACCTAGAATTGATTCATGAACCTGACGATGTGTATCTCGTCTCGAGGGAAGAAGAAGAAGGGAAAAAACATCAAATGGACTGGGAAAAAGCTGAAGATGACGATTATGCAAATGTTTTGGATGGTGGTTCCCTCACATACCCTCACCTATTACGAAAAAGCATGGAAAATACTGAAGTCCAGCATGTTGCAGAGGAAAACGACAGTTCAGACGACGAGCCTTACGAAGAGATATTCGTACCCTTGGAGTCTCTGGAGTCTTCGGCTCGTGAATTTCGACTGGAGAGTACCACAGGAAAGCAAAAGAAAGAAGGGATGAAAAAGACATCTACGATGTCCAGTAGTAACAACAACGACAGTAGCAAAACCACTGGAACGAGCGGAAAGGAAGAGGTTGCCGCGGCACCTTCGATTAACAACAACAACATTTGGATCTCCACTCGCCGCGAAGAGGACTGCATGGATTTTAATGACATTGAACAGTTTTTTAAACTTAGAAAACAGTTGAACGACTTGAGTCTGCGAGCAAAAGATCTTGAACAGGTCTGTACAAAAGAAGAGCCAATGGAAAGAAGAAGATTACCTAAGAAAATTGATAACACTACTCCATGGTTTAGCTCCGATAGGTCACACGACTTGGACAACGACTCGGAAGAAGCCATGAAAGAGAGGCTGGCAAAGAAAAAAACAGATGCTGTCCCCGAAAGGGCGAGGCCAGCACATCAAAGGCGCCAAGTGAGGAAACCTTATGGACCAGAGCATGTCTGCAATGATGGGAATGGTGACATTTACGAAGAATGCATCGACAGAAAATTCGTCAGCCACAAAACGTCAAATAAAAACAATTTAGTTTTCTTCTATGGAAATGACAGTAAATATAAAGAAAAATCTGGCACCTAGCTGTTGCTGAACCGAGCCGTGAAACCATAGCAGTGGTGATGTAGGAACAAGAGCGGGTACTGGTGGTAAAATACGGCTACTGTAAGCTTCCGCTTATAAGACATGGGATCATACAACTTCATAACAGGGCTTATAAACAGGGGGCTTATACCCGGGGGACTTTTGACCACTTATGACCGGACTGGGGGGAGTGGGGGTTTATAAGCAGAAGTTTACGGTATACTAACATTGAGAGAGAGATACGTGAATATTTCTATGGACATAGATGCGACAATGTATCTCCTAGCAGCCTAACAACAACAAAAAACAGTTTTTTAAAAATATCATGTGTTTTTTTGACTATGCAGGGAAGAAAAGTCGGTGCGGTTTTACGCATCTAGCCGCTTAGTTTTTCTTTTTTCCGTGAAACGGTTGCATAAAGCACATAGGCTGAAACTAAGATACGAGATAAGATAAACTTTTATTTGCTGCAATTGTGCGCTAGTTTTATGACTAATAAGAAAAATATTAGTAAATATTTTGTCAAGTATTTCATGCTTTTTTTAGAATTTGAAGAAACTTTGATTTTTAAAATCAGTGGGAATGTCTCAAAGAAAAGTCACAGTACCAGCTATTGTCTGCTTTCCAGAATTAGTATGGACTTTTGATTTGTTTTGTTGTTGTTGTTGCTATTTAACAATTATTCCTCAAGCCCGGATGGGCTCTGAGTATACAGCCCATGAGGCCAAAGGCCGAATGGGCTATTGACTCAGAGGCCATGAGGGTGAGAGGAATAATTGTTTTAGTAAAATCCAACTAGCTGGTCGAAAATATCGAAAATAAAAAAAATGTAGCTAGTTAAAGCTAGACTTTAACCCTTTTTTGCCGCCAAAAAGACTGCGCTTTTCGCTACTAGTGGGCTATAACATATAGCCTAGTATTAGCTCAACCAATCAGAACGCAGAATTGATAATAGACCATTAGTTGGATTTTACTAAAGCCATATATATAGCCATGGACATGCATGACTAGCATATTACGCTGATACTAGTAACATTATACACTTAATGTCAGATCCCGAGGGAACAGTTAGTTTTGTTTTCCCGAGAGTCCTGAGTCCTTCCGAGACGAAGTGGAGGGAAACATCAGGACTCGAGGGAAAACAAAACTAACTAGTTTCCCGAGGGACCTGACATTAAGTGTTTTGTTATATTTCGAGACTTTCACTTCAACAGCAACAAAAGAATAATCGGAGCGAACCCGAAAACAGTCGACTCGGTACTTATAACAACACAAATTTAATACTCAAAACCACTGAATAAATGATTTACAAAAGTACTTTCCTTATATTATCTGCATATTTTTCCTCCACCAGCTGTTGTTTCTCTTATAGGATAACTTTAAAAATCGTTGCTTTTTAGCTCAAGGCTTCGTGTTTGTGTTCTTGTGTTCATTCACGAAAAAGAAAACTGGCACTTTCCACCATTCTTTGATCGTGCTGTAATGTTTCCCAAGCGGGCTACATTGCTTAATGTATCACGATCGGGATACATTTGATTTTAGTCAAGGCCACGTGACCAAGAATCAAGCAATGGAAGTCCCTGTTTAGTTGAGTGAAAGTCTAGGAATATTACAAACAAACTTGAAACGGTTTAATCAGGGGGTCAGTCTTGTTTATGCCATAAAATGTGTGTGAATTTTAGCACATAAAGCGATAAACGTTGTCTAAGGTCTCCCAAAGTTAAGTTTCGTATCTTAAACTCAATTATATTTAATGACCATGTTTGCATAAAATCTACTCAGACTGTTTTAAGAAGACAAGCAAGTTCGACATGTCTTTGTTAGTACGCACAAATGGATCAGTTTGCCCTCAACGAGTCTGTTACAAGACCATAGATCGATTTATCTTAGAAACAATAAATTTAGCATTTTTGAGTTTGTACATAAAGAGTGGAGCATAGTGGACAGCCACTTTCCTGAGAATGCGATTATTACAGAAAATAGTATAAGTAAGAGTGTTATTTTTAGCAATTAAAGTTGTTACTGTGAAAAAGAGGATAACTATAAGTTAATGCCCAATTCACAAATTCACACTTGCCAAACCTGTTAAGTTAACCGGATTTGACAATCTGTTAAAGAAAGTTAATCTTAACTTGTACTTTCGTTTTAGCTGATTAAAAAACAAATTAGAAAACAGCTTTTATGATGAAAAGTTTGATTTTACTAAACAGCTTTTTGACATTTCTTGGTGTGAATAGGGCGTTGTCAATAGCCTTTCTATTATTTACAAAAGTGGGTTACCTTGGTAACTAGTAATAACTTCTGGTTTTCTCTGCTGTTTAGCAATACATACAGATTAACAACTGAATTTAGTGAACAGGTTAAAAGTATATTTTTGCGATGAAAACGGATGTAAGTTGAATATTTTTAAACCTTCTTTGATACTGAAAACATGTTTAACTGCTGATGAAATAAGGCTAATTTCTCGGTAAGTGGAAATGCTGTTTCCCTACTTGAAGTTTAATCGTAGTGTCCTCTTTGTACGTAAACCAAAGCTACTTAATGGCAAAATAACAAAATGATTAAAACGTGATTTTCATTTCTGTGACGAGCGTAGGACAGGAAATACATCCCAGGGAATACTCCCCTATGAAAATGACGGTGGTACTCGTCGTACGCCATGAGGGTCGTCGCGGTACTTATTCAAAGCCCTTTAAGGGCATTTAACCGAAAGATACATGGGAACCCTTTGTTACGCAACTGATTTTTTGGCACCTCTCAGGAGCCACGCCCCCAAATCCAAATTCTTCATCCTTGAAGCTTAGGGGCATTTTTGGAATTATGAGCTGGACGAACTGCCCTGCCATAATAGGGAATCGTTCCCAAGGTAAAGCAAATTCGAAAACCGGAATCCTTCCTTAGAGCTACCTTGGTCGATGCCCTGTTCCTAAAGGAGCCTCCTTTGTCTACTTTTTTCTAAATACACAAAGGAGGAAATTTGCCAAAAAATTTATAAAATTTCTAATTTAAACAATTTCTTAAAATCCCGCCCATTCCAAAATGGGAAGGGGAGGAGTTATCACGGACCCTCTAAATGTACTTCTGTATACCGCACGTAAAAGTGAAATTGCCGACTTACAGTGGTTATGTTTGTGCGGGGATCAAGTGCGGGGAATGGGTTTACCATAGCGCAAGCCCATTAATCAACATGAACTTAAATACCGTTATGCTCGTGCGCGTAGGTTTAATATCTCCATTATAGCTCTCATTGCTACTCACAATTCGTCAGTTTAAGTATTTTAGTGGGCATGGTGGAGGGGTGAGGGTTAACCAATTCCCTCTTATTATTTGAAACCTGACGCAGTAAACAAACATTAAGTTTGTACGAAAAATGGGTAGCCAGTGCTCTTCTGGGCGTATCGTCATACCAAATATTGCCCGTTTACTTTACACAATTGATCTAGAAAAAAGCAGGTTTGCGGCTTAAACACGTGATCCGTAAGTTTAATCTTAGTCTAAGAAGACAGAGCACGCACAACAGTTCGAGAAGAAAATCTTTGAAAGTTTAAAGGTCTGTTTTTCTTTTATTTAAGGTGTTTGTCAGTCACTTGGATTGTTTTAAGTAGCCTCGAATTGTCCCTCAACTGTCCATCTTCTCCACTTCTGGTAATAAAGGTCAGCATCTTGTCTTATAGGTCACATTTACACAGGTCACTTATAGGTCACAGTTACAGCATTGACTGGTCGGCATTTAAGCCAAACAATCTTCCCTCGATCTAAAACAACAATTGGGATAATAATTAAGGTTAGGAGGCGCTTTTGGCCTGATTTATACGTTTCTGCAGGGTGTCTTTGCATCGTGATCTGTACCCTCCGTGACTTGTGGAATCAGTGAACTTTAAAAATATGCTGCGGCGAATTGCTCAGGCTAAAACATTCGAAAGTGTTGTTTTCATATAAATATGTGTTGAGTTTTCCTTTCCTGCGAATCTACCAGTCAAGGTCCCTTCAGTTGAAACACGAAAAGATGCACGTATCATTTAGAGCCATCTTGCATGAGTGAACACGCTCAAAGAAAATCATTCTTGTGGAAACATAGTGGGCAATACCAAACGTGTGAAATAACTTCATGTTGCCCTCCTCTTAGTTTTACTACCTTTGTATAACTTTTTTCTCTTACCGTTCTTGGATTAATGTTCAACGTCTTCTGGCGAATTAGCGCTTTTAGGTAATAACGTGCTGTTTTAGATATATGCATTCAACATTTTCTTCATCATTGCAAATATTATATTGCCCACATGGTTTTGATTGTCTATGCCTTTATTCCTTCTCGATTTCTTAATTCCCTTGGCTATCCTGATAGGCGTGAAAAGGTTTCAATGATATGTTTAAGTCTCCATTTCGTTCTCATTGCGCCAGTAAACTTAGGATTGACCGAAAATTTACCACTAATGTCAGGTCAAAAATGAACTGACCATTGAAGACCCTTAAAGCCCCAAGAGTGACTAATATATCAATTCTCTCTCACCGATATCAATACATAATCAAGAGAACAGGCTACGAGAATTTACAATATGATCACTTATAAGGGAAATTACTTCGATCTTCAAACAAATTCTCTCAACTGATTCTTTTATGATATGTATGGAGACTAGTCTGGAGAAATTGTAGGTAGATACTGGGGTTTCAAGGGTTAATCATCATTATTCATTCATTTTATTTTGCCATTAACCAGAAATACAACAACAGTAAACAGAAATACATTAAAGATAATATACAATATCCCAATAACTAAGTTATTTACAAGATTAAATATGGTAAAAAAAAATCTATCAAGGCAAGGAAGCCTATAACAAGTGCGCCAATTGATACATACTAATGAAATCCTTCTTTGTGGCAATTGACCAAAATTATAAAATAATTCACACACATTTTTAAAAAGAAGCCGGGGGCTTATAAACTATAGGCTTCCTGGAACTATAGGGTAAACCATACAAGTTAAGGGTGCTGAATAACAACAACAACAACAACAACAACAAAAACAACAACTACAAAAGCTACTAAAACAGCAACAATTTTTAGAATACAATTAATACCAGTCGCTCATGGGCTCCTGCTAATATAATGTTCTTGTTCCCCCATGCGACTACAGAGTTAGTTAAGGCGGGCGGAATATAAATTTAGTAACACTGACAACTTGAAGAAATATCAAAAGTAAAAAAAAAAGCGATAGTAGGGCTGAGATAATAACTATCTATACCGTATGAAGTATTCATGAGCACGACAGGCTTGTTTTAAAATAAAACTTATTCCTTTGGGCCATTAGTGCAGAATTAGTCACGTTTCACAATCATTAGCTTTGATTCTCGAAACCGTAAATCTACAAATGCCTGTAGGTACAATCAGTTGCACCATAATTAAATTTTTGGAGCAATCGCCGCAGACGAACATGCCAACGAAACCATGAGCCCATAAGCTGGAGCGAGCAGCGTCCATGCGCTCGTGTCACGGCGTTTTCACGGACCATTTATTTTTAGAACGGTTTTGGTGCGAATTTGAATATCTTTGAAATTCCAAAAACCAGGCAGCAAAACCTACAGACTTAAAAATGATAATTTTCGCCTTTTAATAACGTTTAGTTTTCCTTTTTGATATCTTATACTTCGAATGCGCTCATAGACATGGTGCAGATTCTATTTTCGCCTGAAAGGAAACACAATTTAAACCACTCCATGTAAAACATGACACATAAAGTGTGACTTGACCTCGTTCCCAGGGTCCTCTCCCACTCTTTGGCCCCATGAGAGGGCTGTCGTATTACTAACCGTTTATTTATATTAGTTTTATAAACAACTCAGTTTAACTTCACAAAGGCACATCTATCTACATCATTGTCATCCAATTTGACATCGTAGACTTGCCCAGGAATAATCATAAAGCGCCTTGTTTCCAGGGTGTCTCTCGCTCCATGGGACGGGAAGAAGAGGAGAGATGGAAACGAGGTTAAACCCTTACTCAGTCTACAACGAATCACCGTAATCACATTTTTTTTTCATTTGTTTCTCATTTAAAGCTCATATTGAGCTCAATACGCCACTTGCACATCTCCCACAGTGCACCTTATTTGCTCCTCAAAATTTTGCATAAGCATTTGGACGACTGTAATACCCAGGGGAAATGAAAGTAAAGGTTATGAAAAGGTGCATTACGGGAGATGTGTAAGTAAGCTAATTGATGACAGGTGGGTTGTTGTTACAAAACTGCGTTTAACAAATTTTCACCTTGTGGCAACCTTTCCGATGTTCTTAGTTTGACTGGCCCAAAAGAATCAGTTAGCTATATTATCCTAATGAAAATGAATTCATCGGCATGAAAATAATTTAAATGAGGCAGATACCACGAAGCATGCCATGTTAGTGAACAGCGGTTTCTCCCCAGGTAAGGGGACCCGGGAAAATGTTGCTCGTGGAATCCGGAAACCAGGCAATTTGAGTTGTCGAATCCGGAATCCCCGGCTTTAGAATCCCGAATACAGCTCAAGGAATCCGGAATCTCACCAAGGATTGGAATCTGGAATTCAAGTTCCATTGACAAACAATCCGGAATCCAGTTTGTGGAATCCAGAATCTAAGAATGTCTTGGATTCCCTTACATGGGCCAGGCGGTGAGAAGGGAATATATGTCTAACCATTTCTGTTATTAAGTAAAGTGCTTATGTAATATGCTCCTGAGCATGAAGCTCTTTCTTGGGAATTACTAAAGACGAATGTGTGATATAGCCTGTGTAGCGAGCGTTTCCGTTTCTCGCCGGTTCCTTTCGTCCTGGTTTAACATTCTGAACGAAGTCGAGCGATGCGTAAATGCACGCAAAGTGTGGATTTATGGGAATACATTCCCATACATTGCCATACATTCCCGTAATTGCGGATAGTAGGTGTGTGCCGCCCAGGGTCTTAAATCCTGACTCTGTAAGGATAAACCAAGCGAAAATTGATACCTTATTTAAGGCCCAAACCCTCAAAGCAAACCCCATTCAAGGGGAAAAATGTAAGAATTTAATTGCAACACACAAACCTTCATTTATTCGCTTTCCTAATATTCTAAGGGATGGCTCAGTTACTTAACAGATAATTTGTCTTTTTGAAGCTGGGCATTTACGTACTTGAGTTTTACCTGATACAAGTTAGGTACCCCATCTACGGATCACACTAGAAGCACAATGCTAAAATGGGCAAAAATGATACGCTTTTTTAGGATCGAGACCCTCAGAAACCACACCTATCTGGTGGCACATACCTAAGTAGCCCACACATGAGAGTTCCAGCTTTAAACTTGATATTGTCTTTTTTTCCGTGTCAATGTACAGTTGTAAGGATGGAACATGTAGGCACACCTATGCTTTTTTTTTTATGTTTCAGCAACTCTTTGGAAATCTTAAACAGTCGTCGTCGTCGTCGAAAACCTAATATCTTCACACCTGAAAATAACATGTTATCTTCACGTGTGAAAATATCACCGTTGCTATGGCTACATAATAAATCGCGCCTTTCACACCAAAAAACTATTAAAGTGAAATGGTTTGGTATTTCATTGGTGTTTATATAATAAATAGAACATTACATGGCCGCTTGGAGATACGAAATTTCTCTTCTCGTGTTGAAAAAAGTACGTCAAACCCCCGTTGATACGGACACTGAGGTGGCAATAGACAGTCTCCGTATTAACAGGGTTTCCGTATGAAAGGGGCTGTGTGATAGTAGTCCAGTCCAGTTCATTTTGTTTAATTTTGCCAATAACTCGCCCTCAATTACTATGGAAATTAAAGTAAGCAAAGAAATTACAGGAATATGACAAAATTAGACATCCGAGACAAACAAATATGCCTCCTGAACATTATTTTTGTTGCAAGCAGCAGGGATCAACTTTGAAAAACTGTTAGGCTGAACAGTTTTCAAAAACCCTAATTTCAATCCGTTTCAATTTTCTTCAGTTTTGTCCATCCGTGGCATCTGTTGTTTCTGTTATGGTTTTAAGCTGTTATTTTTATGTTTCTCTTAATTTAACGGACATTTTGCAATTTCCTGTCTTGGCGGAATTTCGTGACACAGCTCCTTTAAGCGGGTCATGTTGTTACAGTAAAAGACACCTTTTATCAGAACAAAATACTTAAAAAAAACAGAGGACATAAGCATCGTCAAAAAAAATCTACCTTCACAAGGTCGGCACATTCATCGGACTAAATCCTTGGAAACACTCAAAAATCGCGCATCTATATATAACTTAATCGAAACCGTTCCCTGTAAAACTCGTTTGATGCCAAAGTAGTCCGGAAATTGACGTCTACAAATCATCCTAGTCCGGTGCTGTAGCACTAGGAACATCGACATGCTGTTATCTGGTTAATTGATGTTTTTTTTACCTCCAAAAGGGGACGGTCTATTGCAGCCACGCACAGTTGATAAAGTGTCCGCGTTAGCGAGGTTGACTTTCATGAGAAACTCAGTGTTGATTGGGCAAGAAACCGTTTCCATGTTCGTATTAAGAGGGTTGAATGAAAAGAAAATGTTAGGGCTGGACAAAGAAAACTGTCCGTAATAACAAAGCGGGTGTCCCTAAAGCGGGGCTCGACTGTATCTGCATGCCGTGTCTTAATCCAGTTGCCAGTAGAAACTGCCCGGTTGTACGTGCAGCTATTGAAATGCGGAACTATATGGTTTGGCATAGTCACAGTAAACACATCAAGGGGTTAACAAATAGAAGCTGGGGTCCGTAAAGCGGGGTTGGATCTGATTGCATTTTTACTTGTCATAACCCAGATGCCAAGAGCAACTGCCCCGTTGTACGTGGAGCTATTGAAATGCGGAACTGTATCGCCTTGCGTAATCACAGTAACACATCTATGATTTTTATCTTTCTATATACTGAGACAGTGTTATTAACATTATAATCAAATTACCTTTTTACCCCCCCCCCCCCTCAAAATTAAGTTGATGATGTTTAACATGGCCTGAGGCAGATCTGACTTCCGCAGCCATCACGGATTTCTGGTGGCGCTTTTTTGGTTCTTTGCTAAAGAAACCGATTCTACCGTAGGCATCAAGAAATACCACACGTTTGTCCATTTTCGATGTATGAGCGCTACCGGAAGCGATGTTGTAAGTTGCCAATTTTTCGGGGACGTTTAAGGGGAAAACCCTGTCACTCAAAAACTTGCCAAATACAGTTCACAATTCCGTCTAAACCATGAACGTGTGAAAGAAGAAACTTAAATTAACTGAATTTAACTGAAATTAAAGGAAATTCATAAATTTAATTTCTTGCATGATGCCCACGATATTGTGAAATATTGACCCGGACCTTGCCGTGCGAAACCATCCTTGCTACTTGTACCCCTCATCCTGTCATCGGTTATCTTATTCTGATTGCTGCACTTTGCTGTTCCCCACATAGGCACACATAAATTTATTTGTAAGGCCGCTTACACATTCAATTGTGACTTCTCAAGGAAATTTTTTAAAAAGCATGACGTTTTACCACATTATCCGCACTAATGAGGCGGGTGACAAAAATACTATAGCCATCTAAGGTGACGTCTTTAGTGCACGCCTTTCGTCAACGTGACTTCCTGTACATGTCAAATTTCAAGCCCCCTTTGCCAACAAACGCTCTCTTCCAATATCTTTGCTCCATAAAACATTATGTTCACGTACAACAATTAAGGGATTGATCACTCAAGATGAATTTAATGGACACTCTAACAACTTCTCCCCACTACGTCTATAGGAAGTGTATAAAGACAACAAATGAGAATTGAAATTTTGATATCAGGTTTAAAGCTTTAAGAACTTGATTGTAGCGCGTTTATCTCTAACGATTCTATGTTCTACTCACAACTTAAATTTTGCAATTAGCACGCAAGGTAACCAGCAATCAGAAGTTCTTTTTTCGGGAAAAGCGCAAAAAAATAATGTGAAGAAGGACCGCGTGATCGCAGGTTACAATTTAAAGACCCACCACGCACATTATGCTAAAAGCGTCCTGATGTAAATGTTGTAGATTTCCTTGTTTGGCTTCGTGATAACATGATGTTTGTTCGACCAGGAATTTATGCTATTATTTATGCCGCAAGCTTGAATTTAAACCACAGGCGTTTCATGTTTTTTTATCATACTCGGTCAAAGAAAACCACGATTGTTGAACGAAACACATGCGTCAAAGGAATAACAAACGATTATAACGTAACTTTTAAAAGCTCGCGAAAATTCCTGAAAAAGGTGTTGTGCAAAAATCATCGACATGAAGCCATTTGATATCTTGAAGTCCTTGAATATTAACAGTCAGAGGCCGATTAGGATGGCGAAGAAAGAAAGAAAGAAAGAAAGAAAGAAAGAAAACTAGATTCGACTATTATAGTCTTTCAAAACTGAAATAAACACGATGAAAATGACATAATACATGATCATTAACGTCCGTTCAATCAGATTTCGGTAAAACTCTCTTGGTATCAAGTGGAAAAAAAATATTTAAATATATAACCAATACTTAAATGCTTCCAATACATCGTTCTCGAAGGTTCATACTTCCCTCTTATCTAAGACTTAATTGTGTTTTAATTTAAAACTGAAGTACACGATTAACATACAACATACCAAGAAACACTGTAAGAAGTATGAGAACGTCATAAAAATCTGAAGAAGTATTTAGAAAGTTATTTTTAAGCCGGATTTATCTCATTTTTTAATAAGTTTAGTTTTATTTCATCGAGTGGGACAAGGTTAGATGGCAATTATCAATTTATACTGATGCGGATCGCGGCCGGAGGGTCGATCGAGCTGATTACACAAGTCAAGTTTACATTGGCCCCAAATTCTCAGGATCTGAAACGCTTGTGCAACATCTGGCCGAGACAGGGGTGGGAATCTATAAACCGAATACCAAATCGAAAAAGATAAAGGGAAGATTATGATTTTAAACAAACAGGAACTCCGGCCTATCATTCCCTACTGATCCTTGGCACAATTATCGACGGTCAAACTGTTTTAAATTTGGTTAGGTCGAGGATTTAATAATTAAAAAATAATTTGTTAAATTATTCAGTCAAAAAAACAAAATGGACTGGTTTGATATGAGTTAGGGCCCTCCGTTCTATTTTTAACATTCTGATTTTAAATTTTGGCTTCACGCCCGTCTGCATAATTGACCTTTTGTGGAACACAAATATGAATATCCCGTTGGGTTAGTGGCTTTCGCTGAAGGAAATACGCATATCACATCACTCACAGCACACCCATGTTCATGTTAATTATTATGGCCTTTCACGCGCAAAGATCATGGTGCGATCTCGCTGCATTTATTGATCGTTATGGAAATGCTTTACCAAAGACAGTCAGGGTTGTCGATGGGTTTTGTGGGGCTAATGACGACGATACACTGGACCCTGATCAGGTCTTACTTTTCCACAGATTGGAGACAGAGAAAGCAATTCTTGGACTTGATGAGTATCGTCAAGAGATTTGCATACAAGAAAATTCCAACACCAAAGTTTACCTTCTTCCGCTCGAATGTAGCACATTTGAAACAGTTCAAGAACTTACCAATGTTCAATGGTCTTTTATTCTCGTTCTTGAAGATATTTTAACGACTGGGATCGTTTCAGGAAGTAAGCTGAAACTGCTGAGAGATGAACAAAGCAGTCCCCACTGCTTGAAATGCCAAATTGTCTTCAGTCAAGACGAATTCCGGGATGTTCTACTCCCTCTTCATGTGAAAGGAAAGTTTCTGCCGCTTTTGGACCCCTCAGAATACTACTTGCACGAGATTCTAGCGTACAATCACCTACCAGTAAATGTTCGATTTATATCTGATTCATCAAAGCCTAATACCCGCTTCGCTTCACAGTCCTTGGCACATTTAGGTCACGTCCTTCTTACACACAAAACCGAAGCGACAATGGTCTTTGCGGCATCGTTCAACCACGACTTGTCGCTATACGTTTTCCCTAGGACTCTTGACATCACTGTTAGCCTCAGATCGGACGACTCAACGGAAGCTAGCGATAAGGTAAAAGAATGCAAAAGGCTCCTGCAGGAAAATGATTGTCAAGTGAAACAACTAGACAATGCAGTGAAGGAATCCTTCTATTTCACAGCAAATCCAGTCAGGCGTTTCCGCGTTCAGCTGCCTAAAAAAACTTGTCCAATACCACTTCCAAGATCACGCTATGACTCTAAAGCGCGTGACAAGGCTTCGCCAGGATCCATTAAACCTCTCCCAAGAAGGAAACTCCTTCCAAAAAATAGTGGAGACGCTCAAAAATCTGAACCAGGTGCGGTTGTCAAGCCTATTACAGATAATAAAGGCCTTGGTGACGTTTTCGAATATTCATCCTCTTCAGAAATTTCACATGAAGTCAATTACAAAGATGAATTCAATTCTGAGGTACCTGCCGTACCCCCTAAAACAAGATCATATTCAAGAGGCACAAATGAAGCCAAAACTGTCAAACTCCACAGTCCGTCTTCATTTGAACCCACTTCACGAAATCAGCTGGTGACGATGGCAGAGTATGAAGACGTACCCAAAGATTATCAAGTGGTACAGGCAGACTGGCGAGAGGCAAATAACGATGAATACAGCGAATCGGCACAGAGAAAGGGTAATCCAGAACCTGAGCTGCCACCAAAGCCTGTATTCCTCAGGCCATTGCTTGCTGACACTGAAGAAAATAATAGCTTAATGCCACAAGACAGTCCTCCTCCTCCACTGCCTCCAAGGAAAGACGGGGACAGCTGTCCTGAAGAGCTCGTCGAGAAAAAAGAAAACGTTGCCTTCATAAGAAGTAAAAATCCCTTACCAGTGTTACCTCCTAGGAAGGAATTATCAGATGTTGCTTATAAAGTAGTCGATGTAACAAACTGGAAATGGTATGAGGACCAATTTGCGTACACCGAAGTCAAAGATGAAGGGCACGTCATTAGTCAAGATAGTGCGGGAACCTTGCAAACCCAAAGCGACATTTGTGGGTCAGAACCCCAAGAATGTGCGCGGGAAAAAGAAAGGCAACGAGATGGCGAGTCATCTTACGAAATCAAGGATTATCGCGGAGCTGAGGAAATTGGTGCTGAAGAAGACAATGAGGAAGATGGGACGTACGAGGAGATTGATACTTGGTGTACGTCTCCTTCGACAGAGGAAAATCTACTGAAGACGAACACGAACCCACAAAAGAAAAAAGTTACTGTACCGTCAACGAATCCCAGCACACCAAACAACGTCAAATGTCCTACGCAAACAAGTCAAGAAAAACCAGCCATCGCTTCATCGCGTAGGTTGAAAAAAGAATTAATAATCTCAAACCGATGCGAGGAGGATTTCATGGATTTTAAAGACATTGAACAGTTTCTTAAACTCAGGAAAAAGTTGAACGACTTGCGTGACCACGTGAATGATCTTGAGAAAAAAGTCGGTGTAAAAGAAGGGCCGGGGGATGAATCACATGAGTTGTCCAGCACCATCGATGAAATGGCCTCTTCTTACAGGTTTGACAGAGTGGAAAACAGGACAGATGAAAACAGGAACATTTTTATCTCGGTTAGGACACTAAACAAGTTTAAAGTTGGCTCAGAGAGTAGAAATGTTGGTTTGGACAAAGATGGAACTGAAAAGAGTACAGGAGAGGAAACTTCAAATTCGATTTCTCCCGTCAATACTCTGGATTCCGATGACGGCGATGAAGCTTATGCAGAATGCTGCGAAAGAGAATTCTCCCACATTGAAGACGATTCGGCTTGCTACATGAGCAATTCTGAACAAGGTAGACAAAGTACCGGCGATAGTGCTGAACATGGTGTGGAATCTGGCAACTACAACACCGTCGAGGTAGGAACGTCAAGCTATTTGCAACTGGAGAACTCTAATGAAGAGGTCGAGAATGTTTATGTAAATGTCGATGCCGAAGACTTCGATCAAGAGGCGCAGTGGGGTAAAGTAAAAGAACTTCCACCCCTTCCTCCTAAAAAAAGGACAAATTTAACCTGCTGACTGAGCCCCTGACAGCACACCGCCCAGCGAGGGTTTGGTGAGAAAAATGAAAAAAAAAAAAGTGGTATGAATGTGCTGCGAAAAACAGTTATGATTCGACACAATGTGTCCAAAATTGTGGGCAAATTTCATGGCTGTCGCTTGTCGCCCCTGGAGTCGCGAACTAATATGTACACAAGCGAATTGAGTCCAGAATTTCTTAAAACCTAAGGTTTTAAGAAATTCTAGTACTCTTTAAGATCTCTAGCTTAGTCACCCCCATTGGCTGCAAAGCACTAAAATAAAATTTTCACGATCATTTCATTTTCATTCACCTTTTTCATTCCTAAAAGAGACAAATCTATCTTATATTCTATGACTTAACACCCTGCTAGCAGAGTCGCTTCGATCTTTCCTAGATAAGTCGGGAAAGATCGAAGCGACTCTGTTAGCAGGGTAATGACTTAAGCGTTTTAAAAAAAATATCTCCAAGTAAATTTGAAGAGTTCTCCTTTGAATGGTTGCACAATATGATTTCATTGAAAGTCGTCTGTACAATTCACCTCGAGAGTCTGAGGGGATACACTGATCTCAAATAAGTTGCGCTGGTGTAAAAAGATACTAGTTTTTTTGCGTTGCAGTTGCCAACTCTCGGATTCATTGTCAATCTTACGTCGTACAATTTAATGAGAAACGAAGTCATATATGGCAGGTCTCAAAACGCTACATGACATGACAACATGACTTTGTGTGGTATCGCAGTTTGTCGACAAAATGAGCGTATAACTAACTGAATTTCATTGGTTTGTAGCCGCGTCTTGCAAATCGCAACCATGTAAAGCCCGGTTTTCAGACGCCATGCAAACTTTTCGTGAGCCTAATTCGAATTAAGGCCGACCCAAACTATTTCGACAGCCTGAATTGATTCAGACGTCGATCTTAATTCCCATCGAACTAAATTCAATAGGAGAAAAGTGCTCATTTTGGTGAAACAGCTTGCAAAATACGTTGTTATAATTTATTCGGCGTCTGAATCAAAGCCGTTCCCAAGCATCGGCTCCTGTCCAAAGTCACAGTCGAAATTCCCGGCCGGGCTAGGCGTTCCAAATTGAAATTGTCGTCTCTAATTGATTCAGACGCCGAACCTTTCTTGTACTTAATTCAATGTATTAGGTTCGGCTTATGAAAAGATCGGCGTCTGAACCGGGCCCAAGTCCGGTAATACCAAAACATTACCCACAGCGAGTTTACCTTGTTTTTATTCCCACGGTCAGCTAAACCTACTATTTGACTTGTTAGAAGGAGAGTTAGAGTAAGGAGTATCATACCAGCTTGAGGTATTTGAGCTGTACCCTCTTTCTCTCGAGGTGAATTTATTGCGTTGCAATTGCCAACTCTCGGATTTAGTGTCCATCTTATGACTTATTAACATTGTACAATTTCAAGGAAAAAAAACATACAAGGCGGGTCTTAAATTGATGTATTCAGTTTTTGAAATAACGCTATGACAATAACTATCGCAGTCTCTCGATAAAAAGAGCGCGAAACTGAATTGGATCTTTTGCAGTATTTCCTCCACAGTGTTCTGAAAATAAAGAATGCAAATTTATGGCTATGAAAACAAGCTTACCACAGAAATTGATACTGTGTTTACAGAGTTCCTGTGTGCGATTTTTTGGCACTAGAGTTCTTTCCTTAATTTGTCAATTCCTCAAAGCCGACGGAAAGTCATTTGAAACTGAAAGTAATTTAAGTCATGATAAGAATAAAACATCCCCATTTTCGTGACGTTTTTTTAAGGACAATTGACTTTAATAGTTTTTTGTGTGTGTTCTTAAAATGGCAAATCTGCTATTTGTAGTTTACAGTAGCTACCAGACCCGCAGTATACAGGCTGTCAACCGCTGATTAATGGTTGTAACTTTTTGCGTATTTGATAAACAACTGAACACATTTCTTGAGGGTAGATTACATATGATAACGTAACCGAATAACGGCTTAATTCAATGACTACCTGATCACCTAATAATATATTGTGTACAAATTTGATTTTAATGTTCTGGATGAGAAACGGTACGTAAATTGTAGGTCCTTACTCTAGGTTTATACAATAAAATGACCCTTACCTATCCATGTTTTTTTGGTTCAAGTTTGTCTTATCTTTGCTTCAACTTTGTATTCCGTTTTGTTTCAAACTCACGTATTATCGTCAAAGGAAATAAAACTCGAACCAACGTTTGTACCCCCTGCAGCGGTGGCGGAGTTCCCCCTTCCCCCCCCCCGATAAGCAATAAAAGGCGGCCTCTGTCTTTTTTTCGGATAGTGGATTAGGGCGTGTTCCCCACGATACGATCTTAACGCCTGGAACGGGCTAACAACATTTTAGGCCCCTCGGATACTTCAATGCTAACGACAACAAAAACTACATAGGATAGCCTTCTATATAGCCTCCCCTGCAGACATTCTTACGGGTTCGTCACGCGTTCCAGCCCCACGAACGTCTGCTGAACCGAAAGAGATATTCCTTTCCCATTTTTCGCAAATATCAGCTGGAGATCACATGCAGATTATCGGAGATCCAATCGGCGCTGTTGAAGTTAAAGTGTTGACAAGCCAAACACATACGTACAAGCTCTATAGAGTGCGATACGTGACCAACGATTTTTTCTCCGGACGAGAATCTAGGAGATAAGCTTTGGATTTTTGTATATTTCTCTCTTATAGGTTGGATTAGATGTCGTTTGCTCATAAAGTTGTTCTTTAGGTGATGATGCAACGGCGGGGTTACCTTGTAAGACTGAACAAAAGGTAGAATTTTTCTTCACACGTTATTGTTTTGTAGTAAAGCCGACTTTAACCTCCGAGGCAATTTTTTTCAATGAGATTGTGAGGGTAGCCACTAGTACGAACGCTGGTGAGTTAACTGAGTAGATTGTTCTAAAACTGTAAGGTCTTCACCTTTTATGAGACCGTTCTGATCTTTTCTGGAGTTATAAAGTCAAGCGCGAAATTTCTCAAGGTCCAAAGTGCACTTCCCAGATCTGGAAGTCTGCTGTGATTGGTCTACGTTTTTTTCCGCTCAAGTCAGCTTTGGTGAAATGTGTGTACTGGAAGGTTTCCACTTGTTTAAAATGTGTCTTTACATCATGGACAACTTTTTCGTTGAATCTTGTGCCTATGTATACAACCGTGTCTAAAAAAATTATCTCAGTGTCAGATATTTCGGCCGTGAATTCAAGTAGTAGGGTGATGTAAGCTTGCCCCAGTGTTCGAAAAAAACTACGATGTCTGGTTTACTCATGTCCCAAAGGGAAAAAAATGTCATCTATGTAGCGTTGGTTTATGGTTTTGCTTACTAGACTTTGTGTTTCAATATTACCATAAAACTGCTGATCTTAATATGTTAAAAGATCGACTATTTCACCATGTTCAAAATATTTTCGCTTTTTCTGATTTCTATTGTAATGACTTTAATTTTGCTGTTTTCAGGCCAAGTAGATTGTGAATTATTACTGAAGAAACCTTATACGACAGGAGTATCTTGTGGCCAGTGTTAACAGTTTACAATCTATCCAAGCGTGGCAAGAAACAAGGTCAATTTTTCTAAGTACTTTTTTTTCTACAATATTATTAATATTATTTTGGTTTCCCAAGTACGTTTTTTATTTGGCAGAAAATTTCCAAAATGGAAATTATTGACGTTCATTTGCGTTTCTCTTCCTGAGTAAAACCAAGAGGAATAATGGAACAGAGTCGCTTATGGCACTGGCTGGGAGACGGGGAAAATGCAAATTACACTATAGTTATTTAAGGACATCCGTAGTCGATTTCCAGAGGATCGGAGTAATCGGCAAACCTTATACTTTTTACCTTTCGAAACAGTAAAACCAATACACGGTGCACATTGATACTTGTTAACGCATAAATGAACACAAACATTCCAGTGGTGGATCCAGACCTTCAGCAAGGCAGGGAGGGGAGGGTGGACCTTTCGGGTTTCATTTTGGTCTAAAAATAAGGGACTTCCTGGCCCCCCTCCCCCGGGCCCCTCTCCGGGATCCACTACTGAATTCTACAGTAAAGGCACGGAAACCAGAAATAAAATTATCAAGTAAGCGGACGTCTCGGGATACAAAACTTCCGTCATGAAAAAAAATAACTTCTCTAAAATTAACAATATCTAAACTGAGCGTGTCCCTGTCTGTCCCGTTATTCTCTCTTGGTAAAACTGAAAAACATCCCAAGGCTTTCAACACGTGTATTGATATCAACTGAATAGAATATAACATCATTCCGTGTTGCGACTGTAAGTAAAACGCCGACTGGAAGTCGGGGGTCGGGATTCTTGTTCTTTTGCTTCGATTTCTCAGTTGCTTTTCCCGAATCGAGACATGAGGCCAAAAAGAAAATCAAACATAAGATCCGAAATAGACCAGAAAACATCGTGTCGGATCACGGCCTGCTGCTAGCTTACACTAATACCACGCCGAGATACTGGCTTTGGGTGTGTGCAAAAGTCTCATAAACCTATTTACGAGTTTTCGTGAGAGTTAATCTTGTAGACTAGTTCTTAATCTGATTAATCATTCATCCTGCCCGAACAAAGAAGCGGGTTTGGACACGAATTCATCTTCTATAGACATTAGTGATCACAAATTTCATGGAAAAAAACACGAGGATCCGTAACTTACAGTACAGACCGAGAAAAACGAGGTTAGTAACATATTTATTATATCTCTGAGGTTAATTGGGCGCGCTGGAAGGAAACTCTAAAATTTAGCGTGCCGTAGTAGAATATGGCCCGCAAAATTGACCAATCACAGCTCGCGTACTAACTAGGAGATACAATAACTTGAAGGTTATTCACAGTCAACTCTCTCTTAACAGACACCTCTATAAAACGGACATTTAGAGTTGGTCCCTGCCATTACTCCCTATACACTGTATTTGACTGTCTTTGACCCTTTTACTGCCAAATTTAGCCAAAAGCATTTTTGTGAAATTTTGAAAAATAAATAGCACCATGTGTAAGTAATGGCAGAGAGCTTTCATTTGAATGTTTACATCACAGGATTTCGTCCGCTGACGGATATCTTTCAAGGTTGGTTTCCAATGTCGCGTAAGTTTTCCGTGACTCACGTAAATTTTACGCGCGTAGTTAATGAAATAGAGGCAATGTATGAAAGGCCACGCGTAAACGTGAAACTTGAGCGAGGTTCAACTTTAACGTTCACACGTGACCTTTCAAACATTGTCTCTGTTTTATATACGCGCGTAAATTTACGTGCGTACGCACGTAAAAACTACACGACAGTGGTAATCAACCTTAAGACGGATACTCAGTGCTGCTGGTGCTGATCCCAAAGGTGTCCTTCATAGAGAAAGTGACTGTATTATTATTATTATTATTATCATTTTCTGTTGTTGTTTTCAAACTTGTGTTTTAATTCTCCGAAATTTTCGCCAGTACATAACTATATATTTGCCATAGCTTCAAGATGGAATCGTCTAAACCATGTTACCTTCTACTCTACCAGTTACTTGAAAGTATTATATATTTTAAAGTTATAAGGGTTTTACTTTACTGCCACACAGCAACAGTACTATATTAATTTTTCTACCTTTCCATTTATTCAGGGTGCAGAATTGAAAAAAAAAAAACCTTTTAAAAACATTCACACAAGCGAATAAAAGTAAAAAAGGACGGAAATGACTATTTTAATAAAACATAATTTCACGAGGATCTTCTTACACCATTTTTATTGTTAAATTCCATCAGCAGAAACACAATGGTTCGAGTTTTATCTTGCCGCTTTATTGAGCAGCGGAGCTCTATCTAGAGACAATGCTTGGCAATCCTTCTCTTTGGACCGAATTTGCGTTGATTCTAAATCACTGGCTTTACTCGCATTGCAATGTTTTTGATGAAAATTCATAGTTAACTGAACTTTGCTGGAAGAATAGCTGTATATGGCTAGAAATAAAAATGCTTGAACAGGTTAGTGAAAACTGGTCACATTTGCCACAAGATAATTAAACCTTACGTCACACAGCACATAGTGCTAATTTTCAATAGAAAATAGTTTTGACTCATAAAGAAGCTATATAGCGCGGTGTTTTTCACTCAGAGGGCAAGCGTAACGTTTGCATTTGTCAGTTTTCCTCAGATCTGTCGAATTCTAAGATGAGGAGCGTTTTGTGTTTGATAATCTTCCTTTTTGGACCAGAGGCATTCGTCATGAGCAGCCAACATTTCAATAGGAGAGGAAGACTATTCAGTAAGCTAACATGTCCAAAAGACAAACTAGAACTTACACTGGAACTGCTTTTTAATCTGATAGCACCAAACCGACCTATCAAGATAGGACCAGTTTCAAATGCTTGCCTGAACAGGGACATGATGGCAAAATGTAGTTCGAGTAAACCTGAGATTGCAATACCTTGCAATTTTGGCGAAACCACGTGTTTTGCCGTGGCCGACGCGTGGAAATCCAGTTTGATAGTGAGTGTGATTTCAAAAACCAAGGAGAGGCGTGCACGTGAGGAAATCCCACCCGACACTGATCTGTGTAAAAACATATTGGCACTCCAAGCAGTAGTTCTCCCTTTCATACAGAACAGAGACACTTACACTATACTTAATCCGCGTGTGGCTCCTTGGTTTTTCACTGATGATTTAAGCGGATGTGACGTTTTCGTGGCAACTGCTGTAAACCGAGGCAGCCGCCCCATGGTTATACATTCTAACCGGTTATTGTATATTAGGAACCTGGCAAAGGATCTCCAATCGAAGGGAGAAGATGTTGACGAAATGCTAAAAAGAATTTCAAAGTCGGATGGCTATGAATGGAAGGTGATTGCCCGCGTCTACTATGGACCGACAACCGAAACAGGAAAGGAAAAAATTGGTTTGAATCGCTATGCCGATGAACACCGAGGAATTAAACTCATAGGTTATCAAAAGATACCCGGAAGGAAAAATGAAAATTTTGCGTTTTTTGGTCATTACATCGGGCCCAAAGCCATAGCCAAAGCCAGGGGATATCAACCGTGCTGGAGATTCATTTTCAAAGGATATTCGACTGGCACAATACTAAGTAAATTTAGAGTGTCTGCAAAAGGAGATTTGTTTTAAAACTAATAGCAAAGCCTTAAGAATTGTAGCACCTTAACTGAAATCATACTTATCCCGTGATTTCTAACTCACGCAGTCACGATGTACAAGTTTGACTTACGCGTCGCTGTTCTAGGATCAATTCAATTTATTTATTTATTTGCTCATTTTATACACTTTTTCTGTAGATTACATAGTATTTGTTATCGAGCAGGATATCTTAGCAAGCCACGTACTAGGGCTTTTCATAGATCTCTTTCTACCAGTACGAATATAAAATTTACACTTTTGTGATGGCTACTCTTCAAATACTTGTCCAGTTAACAAGTTACTAACGGATGTATGCTAAAATCTTCAGTTGTTATATATATCTTCCCCACATTGAAGTTGGTTAATCATCATTTATTCGCATTTATAACCCCCCAGAAATAATATGTATACAAAAAATTTAATCTTGAATAACTGAGATACGCATTTTTTCTTTTGTCTTCTCTTTTCTTTTTACCCATTGAGTGGTGATATATGTTGTAATCTTTTACATTCCTTTTCATGAAATTAAAATTTGACACGCCACGACCAGCGCTTTGGCTAACTGCGTGCCAAGAAATTTGCTAATATTGTAATATTGTCCTAGTGAAGTTCGAGCCTCGACTCATGTTGAAGTCAAGTTAGATTGTCTCGATTTTTTTTGTTTCGTTTTTCTTCTTTTCCAGGAAATGACTCTTAAAATACAGTCGAACCCCGCTTTAGGAACACCCGGTTAATACGGACACTTCGTTATTACGGACAGTTTTCTTTGTTCCTGGGGAAAACCCTTTCATTTCTCTAAATTCGATTAATGCGGACGATAGACACTTATTTCTTTCCCAGTTTAATGCGGACAAGGGACACTTACTTCTTGCCCCGTTTAATACGGACACATCCGTTAATGCGGACAATGGACACTGTCTTATTTCTTGCCCCGCTTAATACAAACACCCGTTAATGCTGACAATGGCCACTTATTTCTTGCCCCGTTTAATACGGACACCCGTTAATACGGACAATGGACACTGTCTTATTTCTTGCCCCGCTTAATACGGACACCCGTTAATACTGACAATGAACACTTATTTCTTGCCCCGTTTAATACGGACACCCGTTAATGCGGACAATGGACACTGTCTTATTTCTTGCCCCGCTTAATACAGACACCCGTTAATACTGACAATGAACACTTATTTCTTGCCCCGTTTAATACGGACACCCGTTAATGCGGACAATGGACACTTATTTGTTGCCCCGTTTAATACGGATACCCGTTAATGCGGACAATGGACACTTATTTCTTGCCCCGTTTAATACGGACACGCGTTAATGCGGACAATGGACACTTATTTGTTGCTCCGTTTAATACGGATACCCGTTAATGCGGACAATGGACACTTATTTCTTGCCCCGTTT